TGACAACTACATAATTGTTATGCTACTTTAATCCAGTTGTCTCTCCTGGACATGGTCTGAGTAGATTTCCCAACATGCATTGTGTGTGAGGTGGTGGTGTTTTAATTGAGCACATCATCACACATCATTGGTCATTCAGGAAATTTTGTTTGAGATGGATATAGGTATGTTGCCCAGGTTGACCCCAAACTTCTGGGCTCAAATGATCTCCTGCGTTCACCTCCTATGGATCTGGGACTAGCCTGGATTACATTTAGACTGTCAAAATATAGGAATTTTTTTGTTTGTTTGTTTTTGTCGGTCATGGGGCCTGAACTCTGGGCCTGAGCACTGTCCCTCAGGTCTTCAGCTTAAGGCTAGCGCCCTACCACTTGAGCCAAAGCGCCACTTCCAGCTTTTTCTGCTTATGTGGTGCTGAGGAATCGAACCCAGGGCCTCATGCATGCAAGGCAAGCACTCTACCACTGAGCTACCTTCCCAGCCCCAAAATATAGGAATTTTAAATGAAAGGTTATCACACTTGAACCCTTGGGTGGTTGGGGAGAAGAATTGGACTCTGAAGCTATCTAGTTCTAAGCACAGCTCTAATGTTGCTCATGATGTAATCTCTTGGTGCTTTACTTTTAGTGGATTGAATAATGAGAAAATGGTTGATTTCTGGGGTCTATTCACACACTAAACTGAGAAGTTAATATAGAATTTATTCTGTTTTACCTTTATGTATAACCTTGAAAACATTTCTTAATCTCTGATCTAAAAATAAACAATTACATCTAACCCTTTTTCACTAGCAGTATGGGCTATATGATATTTGAGGTCTTTGGAGCCATTATTAGATATGTCAGTGGTATAAAGTGATGTTTCTGAAGCTGGTTCCAAAGCTTTTGCCTCCATTTTAGATTGAAGCAAAAACTCTCAAGAGCTTTAAACAATTTGAAAATTCAGAATATTTTAGTAGGGACTGGGACACAAGAACCGTAACAAGCATCATATATGTCAGATTAATTTTACTAATGCTTCTCTTATATTCCAACAAAGGCATCAAACTATGCTATTTAATTAAAACATTATGTTTTTTTTCTGTTTATAAAATCCAGACTCCTATTTATTCCTGGTCCACATTTCTAAACACTTGAAGATCATATTTCTGAAGTCTAAAACCAGACTCCTATTCCCAGCTTCTCCTCTTCTCCCCAAAGACAAATAACTCTAAACTTCTCTGATATACTTTTCTCTCATTGGCACCAGTTTTCTCTTTGACTGCTAGACTGGAGCCTTCAGACTTTCCCTTTACTTGAACTTTCTTAATTACAAGGTATTATTCGTTTTTCTCCTCGCTCCCTCTTTTTTTTTTTTTTGGTGGGTCATGGGGCTTGAACTCTGGGCCTGGGCACTGACTGTCCCTCTCAGCTCTTCAGCTCAAGGCGAGTGCTCTGCCACTTCCGGTTTTCTAGTGGTTTATTGGAGATAGGAGTCTCATGGTCTTTCCTTCCCCGGGCAGGCTTTGAACCGAGATCCTCTTCCACTCCTTCCTTTTCAACCCTAGGGGACCTTCCTCTCGCCCTGTCCCTCCCCCTCCTCCTCCCTCTCCTCTTTTCCCTCCCTCTCCCTTCTTCTAGAACTGGGGGCTTGAACTCTGGACCTTGCTGGAAGTAGTATATACAAAGAGTGGTACTCTGACACTTGAATCACATCTCTAACCCTGGCTAGCTTTGGACCATGGGTTCTCCTACCTATGCTTCCTGCATGGTTGAGATTACATGCATATACCACTGTGCCTTGCTTATTTGTTGAGATCTGGTCTTGCTCATTTACTGCTCTGGCTGGCTTCAAACTTTGATCCTTTCCAAGGAGTTACAGGTGTACCCCCTCCTTTATTCCTTTTTTTTTTTTTGGTTGGTCATGGGGCTTGAACTCTGGGCTTGGGTGCTATCCCTGCGCTCTTCAGCTCAAGGCAAGCGCTCTACCACTTGAGCCACAGTGCCACTTCGGGTTTTCTAGTGGTTTATTGGAAACAAGAGTCTCACAGAGTTTCCTGCCTGGGCTGGCCTTGAACCTTGATCCTCAGATCTCAGCCTCCTGAGTAGCTAGGATTACAGGCATGAGCCACTGGTACTCGGCTTTTTTTTTTTTTTTTGAGGGGGGACTCACATCTAGTATTGAATCATTCATCATTGAGTTTAGATACCATCCTTTTTGTGACACTGACTAGTCATTAGCTTGCTGGTGATTAATTGCATCTTCGAACTTCCTTTATCTCTCCTTGAACTCATGTTTATCTTTTTCTTCTATGGCATTTTCCTATTATGATTGTTTTCATGTCTTATTTGTACTATTGTAAACTCTTTGTAAACTCTTTGAAGACATTATAGTTTACTCATAGGAAGACTGAGTGTGAATGTTTTTGGTAAAATTGCATGAAGAATCCCTTATTAGATCCTGTTATTAGATAGAACTCTAACCTTTACAGTCAACCCATTCTTACCTCCTCAGGACTTTTGTTGGTAAACTTCATTAGTTCTTAGGTTCTTTTATGAATTTTTTATTAGTGTGAATTAATTGCACAATTATGTTTTAGAACTGGGCTTTGAACTCAGGGATCACACTTGCTTGGCTTGCTCATTTGGTACTCTGCCACTTGAGCTACACCTCTAGTAAACTGTTGCTTACTTGTAGACTTTCCTGTGTAGGCCAGTATTATACCACTAACCTTCAGATCTCAGCCTCCTGAGTAGCTGGATTATAGGAATGAGCTACTGGTGTCTGCCCAATTTTGTTAGCCTTTCTTTTTTTAAAATTAGTTAATATGTATGTATGAGATGGACTCTTTCTGTAGTTTTCTTTTTTTTTTGGGTCCGGTCATGGGGCTTGAACTCTGGGCCTGGGCGCTGTCCCTCAGCTCTTCAGCTGAAGGCTAGCGCTCTACCACTTGAGCCACAGCGCCACTTCCAGCTTTTTTTTTTCTTTTATGTGGTGCTGAGGAATCAAACCCAGGGCCTCAGACTTGCAAGGCAAGCGCTCTACCACTGAGCCACCTTCCCAGCCCTCTTTCTGTAGTTTTTATTTGTATTTTCTTTATGGATAAGAATAATGAGTTTTTTTCATGTATCTTGGCCATTTGCATTTTTCTTCATGAACTACCTGTTCAGTTCATTGGTCCATTTATTAATTGGGTCACCCGCTCTCTTACTGTTTAATTTTTTTTTT